CCGTTATCACCCCAGTACCATAAAAAACCCAACATGGCTCCACTGTTCTATATTGTGCAAAACAAAATGTTATTGCCATCTACCAACCCTTATTTTACCATATATAAATGAAAGAGCAATTGCAATAAAAGTGCTGTATACTATATACATATTTTTTATTTATTATATTTTTATTAATTTCATTTACAAACAAATATATAAAGAACCTACACAATATAATACCATTCAACACTTTTTACAATACATTATTTCCATAGTCTCTTCTCCCCCCAACCCGCTTCCCTCCACATCCCACTCTATCATTTTCTCTTCTCCTACAGTTCTTCTAAGCTACCTATATTCTCTCTCTCCTCTCTTCTTAATCATCTTTTCTTATTCCCTTTGCTACCTCATCTCACCGATTATCTTTCCCCCTATTTTACACTCCCAAACAGTTCTACATATCTCTTTGAGGTTTTGAAATCACACCATCCCCTCCAAGTTCTTAAAAATATTTCCATTTTATCCTCTCCACTATTTATTATTATTATACAGTATTTATATAGCGCCAAAGGGTTTGCTCAGCGCTGTACAATAACAAGGGGGACAGAACATGAGACAAGACAGAAACAATACAATACATGAGGGGTTCGAGGGCCCTGCTCTTTTGAGCTTACAATCTACGAGGGAGGGGAAAGTGGTACAGGAGGAAATGGCCGTGGGGGATGGAGTGGTGGGAGGAGTGGAGGAGGTCAATTGTTAGGTGAGGGTGCGGTAGGCTTCCCTGAAGAGGTGGGTTTTCAGGGTGCGCCTGAAGGTGAGTAGGGTATGTGACAGTCTGATGGATTGGGGTAGGGAGTTCCAGAGGATGGGGGAAGTCCTGGAGAAATCCTGCAATCGGGCGTGGGAGGAGGAGATCAGGGAGCTAGAGAGTAGGAGGTACTGTGAGGAGCGAAGGGCACAGGTAGGGTAGTATTTGGGTATCAGGTTGGTTAGGTAGTTTGGGGCGGCATTGTGAATGGCTTTGTAGGTCAGAATTAGCAGTTTGAATTTGATGCACTGGGCAATCGGGAGCCAGTGAAGGGATTGGCAGAGGGGGGTGGCAGATGTGGAGCGGTTGGTGAGGTGAATAGCCACTGAGTTCAGGATAGACTGGAGTGGGGATAGGGTTTGTTTGGGTAGGCCAGTGAGAAGGGAGTTGCAGTAGTCCAGGCGTGAGATGATGAGGGAGTGTACGAGAGTTGTTTAGTAGTGTCTGGGGTGAGGAATGTACGTATCTTGGCGATGTTGCGGAGGTGGAGCCTGCATGATCTTGATAGTAATTGGACGTGAGGTAGGAAGGAAAGGTTCTGCGGGTGGAGAGAGGGGGTGAGATGGGGGGGGAGAGGTAAATTTGTGTGTCGTCGGCATAGAGGCGGTAATTGAAGCTGTGGGAGTGTATTAGTTTACCAAGGGAGGAGGTGTAGATGGAGAAGAGAAGGGGCCCAAGGACAGAGCCTTGGGGGACTCTGACAGAGAGGGGGAGAGAGAGAGGGGGAGGTGGCAGTGTTATAGGTGATGCTGAGGGAGCGTTGGGATAGGTAGAAGGAGAACCAGGAGAGAGCAGCGTCCCTGATGCCAAGGGAGTGCAGTTTAGTAAGAAGGAGAGGGTGGTCAACAGTGTCGAAGGCCGTGGAGAGGTCAAGGAGCAGGAGGACAGAGTAATGGCCATTAGCTTTGGCGTTAGCAGGTCGTTGGTGATTTTAAGTAGGGGGGTTTTGGTGGAGTGTAGGGGATGGAAGCCAGACTGTAGAGGATCAAGGAGGTTGTTATCAGTGAGGTGGGCGCTTAGGCGATTGTAGGCCAAGTGCTCAAGGAGCTTGGAAGTGAATGGTAGCAGGGAGATGGGTCTAAGGTTGTTCAGGTCAGTGGGGTCAAGGGAGGGGTTTTTTTTGAGTATGGGGGTGATGTGCGCGTGCTTTAGAGGGGAGGGGAAAGTGCCAGTGGAGAGGGAGAGATTGAAGATGTGGGTGAGGGAGCGAATGATGGGGGGGGCGACTGGAGGAGCTGTTAGGGGATAGGGTCCAGGGGGCAGGTGGTGAGGCGGGCTTCGGTGAAGACCTTAGAGACTTCCTCAGGGGTAGCTGGGCTGAAGGAGCGGAGCGTTGGGGAGGTGATAGTGTGCGGGGCATTGGGCATAGTGGGGGGTAGTGTGGCTATGAGGTCGGAGGAGGGGAGGGTTGAGGGGATGATGGAGGGCGGGGGGCTGGGTGGAGAGGTAGATTGTGAGTTGACAATGTCCTTACGGATTGCGTCAATTTTGTTTTGGAAATGGTTGGCAATCTCGTGGGCGGTGAGAGAGGTGCTGAGTGGAGGTGGGGGGGGAGAGAGCAGGGATTTGAAAGTGGAGAAGAGCCGGCGAGGACAGGTGGAGAGGGTGTTGATAAGGGTTACGAAATAGGCTTGCTTGGCGGCGTGGAGGGAGGTGGTGTAGGTGAAGAAGGTGGCTTTGTAGAGGGAGAACGCATGAGGGGATCTGGTTTTGCGCCATAAGTGCTCCATCGCGCGACTGAGTCGTTTGAGATGTTTCGTATGGTCGTTTTGCCAGGGTTGAAGCGGTCGGGGTCTGGTGTTACGCGTGGTTAGGGGTGCCAGGGAGTCGAGGGCAGCCGACAGTGAGTCGCTGTACACAGTAGTGGCCAGGTCAGGGCATGACAGAGGGAGGATACTGTCATACAAACGGTCAGCTGCCGGGTGGAGATGAGTCGGGTTCAGATTGCGGAGGTTGCGGGTGATGGTTAGATGCTTTGGGGGGGGGAGTTAAGGGAGGGGGAGATGGAGAATGTGAGGAGGTGGTGGTCAGAGAGGGGGAAGGGGGGTGTTAGGGAAGTCGCGGGGGGGGTGCAGAGATGGGAAGAAGACGAGGTCCAGGGTGTTTCCATTGGTGTGGGTGGAGGACTGTGTGTGCTGTGTGAGCGCAAAGGAGGAGGTTAGGAGGAGGAGTTGGGAAGTAGCTGGGCTGTTGGCGTTGATGGGGATGTTGAAGTCCCCTAGGATGATGGTCCATAGCTCGGAGGAAGAGGGATGCAGAACCAGGAGGCCGATAGATTACCGCAATCCTCAGGGGGGTGGGAGAGAAGAGCCGGATGCAGTGGGCCTCGAAGGAGGAGAAGGATAGGGAGGGGGGGGTTAGGGAGGACCTGGAAGGTGCTCAGCGTGGTGGCAGGAGCATACTGACCCCACCGCCTCTGCGACCGCTCGGTCTGGGTGAGTGGGTCCAGACGAGACCTCCATAGAAGAGTGCTGCAGAGGAGGTGGAGTCAGTGGCTTGGATCCAGGTTTCAGTGACCGCTAGGAGGTTGAGGGAGTGGGAGACAAAGAGGTCGTGGATGGCGGGGAGCTTGTTGCAAACCGAGCAGGCGTTCAGGAGTGCAACCGAGAGAGGAGGGGTGGATGCGGGGAGGAAGGGGACAGATATGAGGTTGAGGGGGTTGCAGCGGCTGGCGGGAGTAGGGGGGTGCCGAGAGGGGGAGTGGGGAGGTGGGGGGACAGGGTTCGGGGAGAGGTCTCCGGCCGTTAGCAGAAGGGTGAGGAAGGTGGCATGGGAACGGGATGTGCAGGAGCGCGTGGGTCTGTTGGTGGTAGCGTGTGGGTCGGCGGGGGATATAATTCCTTCATCCTGTAGATATATTCCACCCTAAATATCCAATCCTTTACTCTAGGGATCTCCTGAGCCCGCCAAAACTTTGGGATCAGTCCCTTTGCTGCATATAATAAATTAGATTTCACCATATTCTTATACTGTTTCACTGTTAACTCAGTATTATGGAATAAACAAAGCCATGGATCTTTTAAAGTTTTTAACTCCCGAGATCTCTTGTATTTGTTGAACTAAATCCTTCCAAAATTCCTGTATCCTGGGGCATTCCCACCATACAGTATATGTGCCATAGTTCCCTTTATCCCGCACCCTCTCCAACATAATGGTGAGTTCTCTGGTTGTTGTTTGTGTGCCACACTAGGTGTAATATACATCTTGCCAAGCATTTATAATTCATTTCTACTACCTTCATATCCACAGCCCCATGTGCTAAATTAAATATTTTCCTTTTTTTGCTGTTCATTTAATTGAATTCCAAATTCCATCTCTCATTTCTCCAAAAATGATGGAGAGATAGGTCTGGATATTTTAGTAGGTATTTTATATATACGAGAAGTACTATGTTTCTGTATAGCACCCGAACTCAACATCTGTTCAAGTTGCTTTTACCACTCTTACTGGTTATGGACGTGCCATTAAAAAGTGTCTTAATTGAAAATATCACCACTCATCTAATATCTAAAAAAAATCCTTTGTGTTTCAGTTCTTGGAAAGACCATATTTCCCCCTTCTTCATAATATCCTTTAAATGTGCATTTCTATCTTTTATCCATTTACTTGATATATCCTCCTTCCGTGGTGAGAAAAAAAACGTGTTCCTACAAGTGATATTAATGGTGAGTTATACTCCCATCACATTTGTCCGTGAATTACATCCCATACTCTAAATACATTCTGTGTTAATGTGCTTGTGGTTTCAGAAAACATCCGAAACTGTTGTGGAATCTAAATAATTTTATCTAACAGTGCCTCGCTTAGTGTACTTTCTATTTTTACCCAACTTTTCCCTAGTGCGTTATGTACCCATTTTACTACCCGTGATAATATTACCGAATAATATCTCTTAAAATATGGTATATTTAAACCCCCATCTAATTTATCTATGCACAGAACATCATATTTTACTCTCGGTTTTTTGTTTGCCAAATATACCTTAATATTATTTTTTTTTAAGATCCCAAAGTATGTCATCAGTATATATAAAATCAGGAGCATATTGAATTTATACAAAATTTTTGGTATTGTCACTAGAGATGAGCGAATTATTCAAAAAATCGGTTCGGCTGATTCGCCGAATTCGCCGATTAAATTCGCTTTGTGCCGAATATATTCGCTGCGAATTTAACTTATAAAAAGGGTGTTTCTAGGCTTCAGAGAGCCTTTATATTAGTGCAGAACACTGTACCTTTAATTTAAATGCCCTTGGAGTCTGCTGGGGAAGAGAAATAATACTGTCAGTCAGTATGACATGCAGATGAGTGCCGTCGATCTTAGAATCACCGCACACTTCACTCATTTGGGCAGTCACGGGGCCAAAACCAGAGTGTGGAGCCACAGTGTGGCGGTGGAGGCAGCAGCAATGGGAGGCCATACAGCACCCTATGACAAAATGGAACCCACCAGCAGTGTGAGGAGACCTGAAAGTGGCACATGGCAGAGTGTGGCGATGGAGACAGCAGCAATGGGAGGCCGTACAGGGACCCATGACACACTCTGGACCTGGCAGCAGCATGAGGAGGCGGTACGGAGGCCCATGGCAGATTACGGGCCTGGCAGCAGCGTGAGGAGGCGGTACAGGGGCCCATGGCAGAGTGGCGGAGCGTAAGCAGCTAAAATTGAAGGCCATACAGAGGCCTATGTTAAAAAGTCCCCCCAGCAGCAGCGTAGGGAGACGACTATCAAGAGTCCAATGGCAGAGTGGCGGAGCAGAAGCAGCTTCAATTGAAGGCCATACACAGGCCTAGGTTAAAAAGCAAAAGCCGTCAGCAGCGTGAGCAGACGACAGAGGCACATGGCGCAGGGTGGCGGTGGAGGCAGCAGCAATGGAAGGCCATACAGCACCCTATCACAAAATGGAACCCACCAACAGTGTAAGGAGACCTGAAAGTGGCACATGGCGCAGGGTGGCGGTGGAGGCAGCAGTATTCGGAAGACATACACAGGACTAGTTTAAAAAGCGGAAGCCATCAGCAGCGTGAGCAGACGACAGAGACACATGGCGCAGGGTGGCGGTGGATGCAGCAGTATTCGGAAGCCAAACACAGGCCTCGGTTAAAAAGCGGAAGCCGTCAGCAGCGTGAGCAGACGACAGAGGCACATGGTGCAGGGTGGCGGTGGAGGCAGCAGCAATGGAAGGCCATACAGCACCCTATCACAAAATGGAACCCACCAACAGTGTAAGGAGACCTGAAAGATGGCGCCTGAAAGTCGGGCACAGTTTGGCGCAGCAGGTGGCGGTGACAGAGGCAGCAGGGTGGCGGTGGAGGCAGCAGTATTCGGAAGCCATACATAGGCCTAGGTTTAAAACTGGAACCCAGCAGCGTGAGCAGACGACAAAGACGCACATGGCAGAGGATGGATCTGGCAGCAGTATGAGAAGGCGGTACAGGGGCCCGTGGCACAGTGTGGTGATGGGGGCTACAGCAACTGGATGCCAGAAAGTGGCCGATAGGGCTATATACTGCATGACTACATAGGTGTTTTTTTATAGTACTTTATTTTGGCCTCCCTCTCAGCAGGTGTGAAAAAGGCCACCATTTTTGAACGGTAGCGAGGGTCCAACAAGGTGGACAGCCAAAAGTCATCCCTCTGTCTGATGGTTATTATCCGGCTGTCGCTACGCAAGCAACCGAGCATGCTATGGGCCATTTGTGCCAAGGAATGCGAGGGACTCCCTGCCTCCATCTCCACAGCATACTGCCACGGTGCGTCTGGGTCCTCTGTCTCCTCCTCCTCCTCTACCAGATGCTCCTGCTCCTCCACTCCTGTCCGCTGAGTGGAAAAACCACCCATTTCACTCAATAATTCCTGAGCACCAATGTCCTCCTCTACCTCCTCCTCTTCTTCCTGTCCTGCCCCCACAGGGGTCATGTGGCGTTGAGATCTGTGCGCCACGTCTACCGCACCCTGACCAGCCATTGTTAACAGCATTTGTTCCAGGACGTGCAACAGAGGAATGACGTCGTTCATCCCATAGTCCTGCCCACTCACGAATAGCGTGGTCTCCGCAAAGGGCCTGAGCAAGCGGCAGGTGTCACGCATGAGCTGCCAATGGCTGACATCTAAGTTACACAGGGGAGTACCTTTATCCGCTTGTAACATCAGGAAATCGGTGATGGCCTTTCGCTGTTCGTAAAGGCGGTCTAACATATGTAGGGTTGAATTCCACCTTGTTGCAACGTCGCAGATCAGGCGATGCTGTGGAATTCCGTTCTGCCGCTGCAGCTCAAGGAGGGTGTGCTTTGCGGTGTAGGAATGGCTGAAATGCATGCAAAGTTTACGTGACATTTTAAGGATGTCTTGCAGTGGGATGGTGGATTTTAGGAACCGCTTGACAACCAGATTGAACACGTGAGCCATGCATGGCGCATGGCACAACCTTCCTTGACGCAGAGCAGACACCATGTTCTTTCCGTTGTCGGTCAACATGGTTCCGATTTTCAGTTTGCGCGGAGACAGCCATCTGTCGATTTCTCTGTTCATTACACTCAGAAGTTCCTCCCCTGTGTGACTACGTTCGCCAAGGCATACCAGGTGCAGCACAGCGTGACACCGTTGCGCCCTGCACATGTGATATGCCGGTCGGGTAATGGGACCTGGCACGGGGGTGGCGGCTGAGGACACGGCGGAAGAAGAGGTGGTAGAGGCGGACATCTTTGCTGGACCAAGGACGTGCAAACGAGGAGGCAAAAGCGGCGTGACCTGTCCAAGTTTCTGGTGCGGCTGTGCCGGCACCACGTTCACCCAGTGGGCCGTAAATGACATGTACTGTCCCTGACCGTAGTTACAGCTCCACACGTCGGCGCTGCCGTGCACTTTGGCAGAGACCGACATGCTCAAAGACTGGCCCACCATCTCTTCTACATGTGAATGCAGGGCTGGCACTGCCTTTTTGGCGAAGAAATGCCGGCTTGGCACTCTCCACCGCGGCTCGGCACAAGCCATCATTTCTCGGAAAGGTGCTGAGTCCACCACTTGGAAAGGGAGGGACTGCAGCACCAGCAACTTGGACAGGAGGACGTTCAGCTTCTGCACCGTCGGGTGCGTGCTCGCAAACTGTTGTCTCTTGGAAACGGATTCCAAGAAAGACTGCTGACGGAATCCGTGAAGAGGAGTAGCAGGAGAAGGAGCATCTGAACGAGCGGAAAGATGCCAACGAGCGACAACTCCCCTCAGCAGAGGTGTTGGAGCCTTGACTGGCTGATAGAGGGCGATTGACGTCGGGTGACGGAGCAAGTAACGGAGCGGGTGATGGAGCGGGGGCTGGGGCAGGCAGAACCGCCGTATCTTTATCACGGTTTTCCCAGGCCACCGAATGGCGACGCTGCATATGCTGACGCAACGCTGTAGTCCCAACATTGGCCCCCTGGCCACGCTTGACTTTCTGGCCACATAGTCGACATACGGCTACGTTTACTTCCTCGGGCGGCGTGACGAAAAATTGCCACACCGCCGAGTAGGAAACTTTGCCCCCGCTACTCCTCACTGGCTGACTGCTACTTCCTCCGTGCACACCGGCACCACTACTGGCCGTGGTGGTAGGCTGCAGTGGAGCTGGTGCTCTACTCCGTGGCCGTTTGCCTCCACTGACACTGCTGCGACCCTGCTGCCTCCTGTGCAACCCACCGACTGTTTTGCTCGCTGGCAAGCTGGCACCCTCTTCTCCTGATGATGCGGAAGCAATAGCCTGATGACGACGAGGCTGCCAAGTGCGATCAGCCTCATCATCATCAATTAGGGTCTCCGCGTCACTACTAGCCCCCTCGGCTGCGTGTGGGTCAGGAGACAGACCTGTCTCTAGACCGGCTACCAAGCCACTCTCCTCGCCACTACTTCTTCGCCTGGCTGCTGAAGAGGCGGATGTCTCCCCCCGTTCCTGACCGCCCTCTGTTAGCTCTTCCTCACTGTACAGTGGGGCTGAGCCCACAGCATGCGATACTTCGCTTGGTGAGGGAACACCAAAGGACAGGGGCAGGTCGAGGACACGTGATTTCAGTGGGCTTGCTCCCGGGCCATGCCAACTAACGGTTGTGTCTGACGTACCCACCGACCGTTGGCTGTAGGTGTCAGAGGTGACCTGGGAAGAGGAAGACGACCGAGTCAACCAATCGATGACGGCAGGGTTGTCGGTGGAGACACGACCGCTGGATGACACCGGGAGCACTGGCCTCTGGCTGCGACTAGTGCTGCCTCGACCCCTTCCTCTGCTGCCACGTCTGCTCGCTCCAGAAACATTGCCTCCTCTGCCACTCCTCTGCGTGTTGTCTGACATACTCTTTAATTCAATAAGCACCCCAAAAATAAAACCGGATTTAACTCTTTGAACGTACAATAGTGGTTGTGAAGCAGAAAGTCAGTTTATTTAGCACAATCGGTCAATTGCAGCTTGCCGTTGGCTGGAAACTGTACGTTTCTGTCACTGGAATGCACTAATCACCCAAAAAATATTACCGCCACCCGGCGTGTAAATGGATCTAACTCTTTGAACGTACAATGGTGGTTGTGAAGCAGAAAGTCAGTTTATTGTACACAATCGGTCAATTGCAGCTTGCCGTTGGCTGGAAACTGTACGTTTCTGTCACTGGAATGCACTAATCACCCAAAAAATATTACCGCCACCCAGCGTGTAAATGGATCTAACTCTTTGAACGTACAATAGTGGTTGTGAAGCAGAAAGTCAGTTTATTTAGCACAATCGGTCAATTGCAGCTTGCCGTTGGCTGGAAACTGTACGTTTATGTCACTGGAATGCACTAATCACCCAAAAAATATTACCGCCACCCGGCGTGTAAATGGATCTAACTCTTTGAACGTACAATAGTGGTTGTGAAGCAGAAAGTCAGTTTATTGTACACAATCTGTCAATTGCAGCTTGCCGTTGGCTGGAAACTGTACGTTTGTGTCACTGGAATGCACTAATCACCCAAAAAATATTACCGCCAGCCGGCGTGTAAATGGATTTAACTCTTTGAACGTACAATAGTGGTTGTGAAGCAGAAAGTCAGTTTATTTTGCACAATCGGCAAACTGCAGCACCAACTGTGCACGACAGCCACCAAAAAAAAAAAAAAAAGTGTGTATGTCACTTTAAATTTTCGATTCTTTGATAGCTGTGGCCCTGAGTAACGATTCTGTGTCCCCGAGTAATGATTCTGTGTCCCCGAGTAACGATTCTGTGTCCCCGAGTAACGATTCTGTGTCCCTAAAGTCTCTGTGGTCCTAACTCTGTCCCTTAATACACACAGGTCTGTCTCTCTTGAATGACCGGAGGCTAATGGAGAATTCTAAGATGGCCGCGATTTATAGCTCCACCATTACACAGTGCTGGCTGGCTGCTGATTGGCTAATGCGATCACATGTCATGATTCATGACTCATGAATGCATTATGGGTCAGCGCGCCTTGTCTGCGCGCCTTCCCAGAGATCCCCGCCCCATCTTCTCTGTCCATTTTCTCCTGTCGCCGCCATTTTTGGGAAAATTCGATTCGTGCATCCGAAGTTTGCTAATCTTCGGATTCGTCGCGAATCGAATTTTCCAAATCTTCGGAACGAATTCCACTTTCATGTTCCATTCGCTCATCTCTAATTGTCCATTATCACCAAGCTTTTTTCCATCTCTAATCTCTGTCCATTTGTCTCCTTTCGCCAATTTTTGGGAAAATTCGATTCGTGCATCCGAAGTTTGCTAATCTTCGGATTCGTCGCGAATCGAATTTTTCCAAATCTTCGGAACGAATTCCACTTCGTCATGTTCAATTCGCTCATCTCTAATTGTCACCATTATCACCAAGTTTATTCTTTCTAACCAGGAGAGTGATCTTGAACTTTTCCTCAACTCATTCTTTATCTCGTTTATTAATGGCATGTAATTTACCTGATATATATTTTTAAGGGACGAGATTACCTTTATACCCAAATATTTTAGTTCTTTCTCTCCATGTGAAAGGACATTCATTTTGTAATGCTGTTTTCTCTATTTTGGGAACACCAATATTTAATATCTATAGTATTTTAATATCATCAATAAGTTTGGTAATGTTAACCTAGGGTTTACCACATAGAATAACATATCGCCTGCATATGCTACAACTTTATGATCCACGTCTCCTATCCAAATTCCTTTAATATCTATGCTATCTTAGACTGTCGCTAGGAACGGCTCTAAAGATAATACAAATAGCAGGGACGAGCGTGGACTTCCCTGCCTAGTTCCATTATACATTTTACACTAATGACAATGAGCCATTGATCTTTACAGCTGCTGAAGGGTAACTAGTGTCAGGAATCAAGGAGTGACCAGAAAGGTGTGGACTGACACAGGGAAACGCAGGTTTCAGGTATAGTATAATACAGGTTATTATTAGCCACCCAGATATATATATATAAACGCACAGTGA